ATAATAATTGACATAATAATAATAATAAAGAATTATTATTATTATTATTATTCAAATAGACGAATGAAGAAAAGAAAGGATAGTCATTTAAGAAATTGTGCAAGCAAGAAAAATATAATTAACAATAAGCATTGACAATAGTAGTAGTAGCAATAGTAGCAGCAGCAGCAGCAGCAGCAGCAGCAGCAGTAGCAGTAGTAATAATAATAATAATAATGAAAAATAATAATAATAACAACAATACAGCAACAACCATAATAATCATACCAGCACAAAAATATAACAACAGACATATTATCAACCCTGTTTTGACATTCAATGCAATCTATATATACAACAAAATTTCTAGAATAATATAAAAAAATATAATAAGAATAATAGTGTCAATCAACTGCACATCATAGCATTAATAAGCAATATGTAAGAAAGCATTAAATTAATTAATTATTTAGTTAGTTAGTTAGTTAAATAGCAAAGAGGCAACAAATGCAATGCAGAGAAATTTTCAAATAAATAATCAGACTACTACTACAGATAAACAGACAGAGAGACACACCACAATAATTTCAATTTAAAATTTATGCAAATATTAAAAATCTATGTTTTTTTTCTATATAAAGAAGCAATTTTAAGTTATTAATCTGAAAAAGCAACACAAATTTGTAGATGAATATTGAAAATCACTAAATTTTTTAAATAGCATCCATCACCATTCCTTTTATTTGCATTAACCACAAAATTCATCATTCATCCAAATCAGCAATTCAACGATTCATTTATCCATACATCCATCTATTATTCTATACGGATATGTATCCACCACTTTACTTCTGCCAACTTCAACACCAACGTAACTTCCACTAACCAAATGAAGACGATAAGGGTGAAAATGTTGACAGAAAAACTACATAGACAGAAACCACAGGAATAAAATAAACAGTGAATAACCAGATATATAAGGTAGACCAACAAATAAACAAAAGCTCTCTAAAAATGACGAATTAAATTTATGAATGGCTTAGTTAAATATCAGGTCAGAGCTTCAATGAATGATTGATTGATTGGATAAACAAATGAAAAAGTGAAGGAATGAATGAAGGAATACATGGATGCAAGCAATCGCACTCAACATACATAGTAGTCCATACATTCATGTACTTGAAAATGAATATAATATGATATATCGGGTTTATGAATAAATATTCAACAGTCCGATCAAAACTATTGGCAAATTTCATAAACTTACGAGAAAAATATACACAAGATATTGAAATGAAATGATAACCGAAACATACACAAGAAATTGAAATTAAGAACAAATGAAAGCAGAATTCTAAAGAATAAATGAAGGTACAGAGTGAACATAGTACTTCCATCACCAGCGTTTATTTGTTGGTCGAATCAAATTTTTTTCCATTCATTTTGTAATGTGGTCTGTGTCATGTCTGCGAAAAAAGCAGCTTCCATCATCTTCATAATCATCGTCGCCATCAGTTATCATCCTTCATCATCCTCATCAACGTCGTCAGTCATCACTATCATCATTGTCACATCAAAAATGTATTAATTGACTTGCAGAAGTCATCCCACACACACATACACACACCACACACACACACACACACACATTACAAACACACACAAGTAAAAAAAATAGAAAAGGTACACCCTGAAATAAAAAAACCAGTAAATTTCAATTAAAAGAGACCCTCTAGATGTATCAAATCAAACGTAGTAACAATAAATATAATAAATTTATCAACAAGCATGGAAAATAAAAAAAAACTTAACCAACTTATAGAAAGATAAAAACAAACAAAAGAACGATAATAATTTGAACATGTAATTAAGTTTAACAAAACAAAAGCGAGCAAGCAAACCACACGTGTAGCTCTATTTTATTAGTAGTAGGCAATGATGACAAATGAATGAATGGATGATTGAACAAAAAAAGAAGTGAATGAACATGAGAAAATGAATGAACGTAAAACGTTAAAGAAGTACACACAAACAAACTCACACATCCACACAGGCCATAGCTTATTATGATGTTACCAATAACATCACAACAACACAAACAACCACTACTTGAAATAACCCCCCCCCTGCTAGACTGCACTTAAAAATGACGTTTAATACACTCTTGTTTATTTATTCTACGCATGTATACAGTCATGCACATCAATGCATGCATGCATGCATGTTATGTATGTATGAAAGTATGTATGTATGAATGTGAGCATCATGTGTACATTCAATTCAGATAATTCTAACAGAAAGCAATCCTTACCCAAACAAACTCTGAATTATAAAGATAACTGTCTAAAGAGCAAAAGTTAACCAGAGCACACATATACAAACACAAACACCCACACACAAACACCCACACACACACGTACGTGTTTATGAATGACAACACATACGTGTTTTTACAGAGCAAAACAAGAATAAATAAAAACAAACCAGATAGATGTTTGCACACATATGAACACCAACCAAATACATAAAACTAAAACATCATTGAAAAAACTTTACAAAAGCTAAATTTCATCTACCCATGTAAGAACTATTGTAAAATAAAAAAATAGTAAACAAATAAAGATGATAAACCAAAATTTATGACGTAACAACAAAAAAAGAAATTTTCGACAAATAATCGGCCAAAAATTATTTAATCAATAAAATTAATAATTATTTAACTAATTCATTAATTAAAGCATCCACTTCCATCTATGGATAATAACATTATATCAATAAGAGCTATATAGAGGGCAATAACAACAACAATAATAATAATTTTAAAAAATATGTTTATAACGACAATAATGTTGCTATTGTTTTTAACAACTGTTCGTTATTCAGGCATTTGCTAGCTAGTTCTTATGTTACATAATATTGTATATTATAGTTTTTCTTTTACAAATTAATCAAAGAATTGTTAATATTACTTATTATTTTTTTTAGTTCAACTAGATAAGACAAAATGCATTAAACAAACCCAAGCACACTAACAGTTAATTGCATTTAAAATTTTTCAATAATTACAAGTATTAATAATTATAATAATAATAATAATATAACAAATATTAATAATTATATAATAACAACAACTACAACAACAATAAAAATAATATTAACAATATACCACAAACTTAAAAACAATATATTAATGTGCAATTAATATTCAATAATCAGAAATATAATCAACAACAACCTTATAATAATAATAATAATAACAATAACAATAATAATAATAATAAAATTAATATTATTGATGAATAAAAAAGTAAAGAGCAACAATAATAAATAAAATAACAACAATAACAACAAATTAAAAATCAATAGTAATGTTAGAATTCTGACAAAAGCACAATTATATATAGAACATATATATGTATATAGAGCATAAATTCAATAAAGCAAACAAACAATTTATGGTGCTCATAGTAACTGATAATAATTACACACACACACACACACACACACACACACACACACACACACACACACACACACACACACACACACATGCATAAAAACAGCCATAACAACAGTAAAAGAAAGAGAAACAATATAAACCTTAGCAATATATTGCATTATAACTCATTCCAGATAAAAATAATGAATGGAAAACATAAAAGTTTGAACATTAACATCAAAACATGATCAGATATATATATATATATATATATATATATATATATATATATTCACATATTTTATTCTATAAATTTAATTTTTCTCCTTTATCTGCTATTTTTACCCAAAAATACAAAAACAAAAAAAAAGATTCCCAGAATAATGTTCCGGACACACACAAATATGTACTCGCGCGGCATACACACACACGCATGCACATTTATACATACACTTGATGACATCATTACAATCATTTTATTATGCAACACTCATTAATGACATCACTGTCATCATCCAACTTCATAACTACAGATTGCCACTGATTGCAAACCTGTCGCACAAACCTGTGGCAAGCAGATAAAACCAAATAAAGAAACATCACATCAGCCAATAATCATCAAACACTGGATAAAAAAACACATCAGAAAAAAAACATCACGCTGCACTGCATTGCGTTGGCACAGACAGAGAGAATGAAAAACAGGTAGTTAAAAAGACAGACGGACGGACAGACAGACAGACAGACAAACAGAGAGACAGACGGGGAAGTGCTCAAATGTGATGCCCTCAGGTCATTCTCACTCATCAACTTTGCACCTACATAAGATAACAACGCCTCTGCACGCAATTAGATTCATCAAGCCTAAAAAACAGCATTCAAAATTTCACAGAAACTATTAAACGCCTACAAACTACCACCCACTAACACACACACACACCACCATCCTCCATAGAAAAGCAGCACTAATGTTCAACACTCAAATGTTCAGTGTCAGTGAGTTTTTAAGATGGAGATATGAACATTGCATATTAGATACATCCGACTAGTTTTAAAACATTCAACCACATATTCCTACTAGAGAAACAGTAAAAAGAATTAATGGGCGAACAACTACATTTTCATAACACAGCCCCCCACAGTTCACTATGCATACATTCTAAGCTTTGATATGCCCACAGACATAAGCATATACAATTAAACCATTCTTAGTAATGACAGCACAATTAAACATTGTGTGCATGCATGTACTAATATATAAACATAAGTAAAGTACAAAAGTATATGTAGAAATACTGATGTATAAATGTTATTGTGTGTATGTGTAAATATTATAATTATGTATTAATTAATTAATTAATTAATTGTGCAAACAAAATGTTTTAACAGGTATGCAAGACACACAAAGTTCACAAAAACACAAACACCAAGACACAAACACGAGACATACACAAGTATGCACACTATATACATACATGCACATATACATACATCATGCATATGTATATAAACAAGGAGCATGCAACATGTACACATCATGAAACATTTTGAACATTATGATTACCATCAATACAGTCATTAATCAAGATTGATCAAGAGTTGTGAGTGAAGCCAACTGAGTAGCTCCCTTGAGGAAAGTTGAATCCGGCGAGCAGATGATGATTGGTGAAAGGAAGTGGTGTGTAGTCGGGGAGGTGAGAGGATGTGGCATGATTTGTGGAGGTGTAGAGGAGAGAGGTGGAGAAGAGAGAGGGGAACAATATGGAGAGGAAGGCTGAATCAGCGAGATAAACTGTGATGTTTGTAGTTGTTGATGGAGATGAGCTTGTTGTTGTTGTTGTTGATGATGATGTACATTTTTTGCAACTTGCAACAACGATGTTGATTTGTGTAACAGCTGTTGTTGTTGTTGCTGCAACAATTTCAGCACTTGGTGTTCGTGGGAAATAGTTTTCTTCACTTGATGTTTCTGAGGTGATTTGAGGAACGGTAAGTGCTGTGGAACTAATTGTTGATGTTGTATTAGGATCTGCGGTATAATACTTAGATGTTGCTGTTGCTGAGTAATTTGTTTCTGTTGCTGTTGTTGTGTTGTTGTTTTTTGTAGTTGTTGACGTTGATGTTCTGGCTGAATGACTTTAGGGGTGAAGGTTGGTTCTTTTTCTCCTTCCAAATGCTTAATTGCCTCAACAATTGTTTCCAGGTTGCGTCTCGACATGGAGTATGTAGTCAATACCTTAGTGTCGTTGTCTACAATGGCATCTGTGATGTTGTTATTGACGGTACCGATCAAAGGTTGGGATGTTTGTATCGAGCAATGAACTTCATCTTCCACAACACCATGCACAGCTGCTGTCTGGCCCTGAATAGTGTTTTTAAACGTTCAGATCCTGTAATAAGGATGTAAATGATAATTGGCAACACAAAAACCTAACAGCTTCCACAAAAACAGCATTATGTATTCACCAGCATGTTAATTGTATAGCAAAGATGCAGACACTAAAATACATATATATAAACATATACCAATTACATATATGTAATCCTAACAAAAACCAATTCATGATTGAATGTCTGTCTAGCACACAATCTTAGGCAATAAAATAGTTCTACAAGTAAAAACTTGCATACGCACAGATATTTGTATTCTTTTTGCAAATTCTGTTTTTATTTTGCGTCAGAAAACTAACAGCTGAACATGTTAGTAAATTAAAGCATGCTTGGCTTGGGGTGGGCATAATCAAAACCATGCTGGTAGCTTTTTAGTCCATTCAACAATTCATTTCATGTGGGATTTTTTTTGTCATATCTTTTTATTAAATGCACTCAACTCAGATTGTTGATAATGCTTCATAAACTCAAGCAGTTCCTGATGTGAATTCATAGGATAAGCAACCCACAGTTAGAAGCATGTGATATGTAATGATTTCCATTTGTAATTACTACTTTCTTACTTCTACAATTCCTTTAAAAAAAAATCGTGACCCATAACAAAACTTAATACATGGATGCACAAAGGCATATATTTATGTTAATGATACATACGCCCACATACTTTTTCAACCTTTTAATATTAAAGGAATAGATACATCAAATAGGATTAAGTGTGAGAATAAAGAAAAAAAGAAGAAAGGAGATAGGGAGATGGATAAGAGAGAAGAAAGGAAAGAAAGAAAATAGAGGAAGTTTGATAGCTATAGAATACCTAAGTGAATATTGGATACCTAGGCAAAACAACACAAACATTTCATAGGACTGACCCAGCCATAAATTTCATTTTAAATGATAAATATGATGCAAAATTCATTTTTCCATTCATTCATTCATTCATTCATTCATTCATTCATTCATTCATTCATTCACTGAGAAAATTCATTCCAATTATGTAATTATGTAAAAAAATAAAAAGAAAGAAGAAACATGTGTGGATGGATGCTTTGATATTTGCTTCATAGCATCATTAGCAAAACAAACAACAAAACACGTTTAGACGACATTTTCCCCGAGATCGGGGGTTGCCATTTGGCTACCTATGATGAAACCGAAATACCCCTCGACGCCATCCACATCTGTCACTCGCCTCAGTATCACGCAACCCCGCTTTCACCCTGTCCTTCTCCACCTGCTCTCTCCATCCCAATCGCGGACGACCCCTTCCTACCACTCCTTCAACCTCGAACTCCAACGCTTGCCTAATCCCGACCCTTTCATCCCTTCTCAATACATGTCCATACCACCGCAATCTCGATCTCCTTATCAATGTCACAATGTCCTCATTCAGTCCCATCATTGCATCATAGCATCATTAGCAGTTGATATAAATTTATGAATAAAAAATTTCTCAAAATATTTTATAAAGTCTTGGCTACACATACACACACAAACATTTGATAAACTCTTGGCTACACAAACACACACACACAAACATGTAAGTGCATGAGCAAATAAAAATATATTTTTCACTCAACACAGTTGAACATACAAAGCATGAATCCATCACTGTGATCTTTAGTATTATTTAATGATAATGATAAAACATCCTTCCTTATTTATAAAAGAACAATCATCATCAACAATGTAACTTCTAGTACTAACTTGTTATGCTAAATTAAATTCAAAGATAATTTCATGTTCAATACATTTTTACAACCAATCATTATTAACGTCAACCATTTTGGATTTTAATGCACCTCTGCATAAAATCAAAAAGTTATATTTAATCTCTACGGCAGCATTCTATATTCAATCACATTCCAGTCTTCAAAAATTCATTCAAACTACAGACTTAAGACACACTGGAATCTTCAACATAGGTATATTTGTTTGTGTATCTGAACTGAATGCTACTCACAGAATAAATGTATTGAAGTGAAAAATACACTCTAACAACATTTAAACTCTTTATATGAAATTTGAAATAGCCACATGCTACTGTCTAAAATATGGGACATAACTGCCTAGCAATGTAGAAGACACTACAAACTAACAAACAGGAGCACAAGCTCAGAGACACATGTTGGCATACATAAACATAGTAGACATGTACATTTATATGTGCAAATAACCACCAGCATCAGACATTTATGGCCATGAAAGTGGAGATAAACACAATTAATATACTAAAGTGATGCCTCTACACATAAAATTGCATCAGCATTACATATGTACATCCTAACTTTATGCTCCAACATGTTTTATGTATAGTAACATAAACTTATGTAGGAGTATATGTATGTATGTATGCATTTATGCATGCGTGTGTGCGTGTATGCATGCATGTGTAGGACTGTATTGTGTATGACTGTAAGTATGTATAAGCTGTGAGAAATAGTTAAATTAAAGAAATTAAAAAAAGATCTAAGGAATTGTAAATGATAAACCTCATGCAAACTAGCATGAAACAAGCAACAAGAATTTATTGGACAAACAAATTATTTTCTTTGATGTTAATCAGCAATTGTATTAATGCTACACTGATATATAACTCTGCCTTCCCAAGCATTTTGTCAATCAAACATTAATGCATGTTCCATATATGCATGTTACCAATTTTACTTGAGAATTAATAACTCTCAGTGGAAGTTCAAACTAAATAAGCTATATAAGAAAATACAAAAAAATGAAATGACTTAAAATTGAAGAAACATATTACTAATTCATTGCATCCATTCACATCACATAGCATTCTAACCTTCAAGTAAGCACACAAAAGCATGTGCACATATTACACAGTTTATATTTATATTGTAACCGATTTTCTATACAACTATATCCTTTCTTGAACAATACCTCACAATATAAACATAGCTAATAAAAGAAATAACATTAACTGCAGCAATAAAAATAAACATCTCAATGAATGCTTCAAATATTTTGTATTTATATTCAACAGCTAAGAAACATTCTCAATGTAAAAAACTTGAAGAATGTCATTGTTATTTGATGCATATTAAAGAGCAGAACAGCTAACCAGTTAGTTGCAGTCTATGTTGCAGACTTAGTCAGCGTGGGAGCGTGTAGTAGTACTATTCTCAGACACTTTTTCATGAATGTAAAAAACGAAGCAAAAGAAGATTAGTAATTCCCATACACCACAGCCTGATGACAAAATTTAAATAAAATTCAAACAAGCATAAATAAGAAACAGAGAAAGTCCTTTTATAAGAAAGAAAGTTTGAAATGAGAGTTATAAAATGGAAGATGATTAACTAGGCATGGCTCACAATTAAAAACTCAAGGTGATAGAGGTTGTTGTTAATAGCCAACAAATCCATACAGTTGTTTCTGTTTATAAAAATTAAAAAAATATTCCCATACCAAAAGCTATTCACATACAATACACTTTGCTTTGTATGCTCAGATGGTGGTTATTCAGCATGTCAGCGTATCAATGTAATAGGCTACCATTATGACTAAAAATTAAATCTACTGGCAGTTTAAGCATGTTTTTGAGGATGAAATGAATACAATGTTTAATAAATTACATTGTATGTGCACCTTATTAAAAATACATTATACACTCACAAATAGCCTGAAATTTTTTGCATCATCAATCAACCAAATATTCTTCTGTACATTATATTTTAATATACATTATTTTAGACATTGTTTTATGCAAGTTGTATAAAAATCATGGTGTGTAAATCTGAAATTCTAACGCCTTCTAGCATTAGACTAAACTTCAACCACTCCACTCACTTTATCTTTTCAATGTTCATTCCAAATGTATGAATCAACCATCCCATCCTATCTCAAAGCAAACAGCTTCATATGCATTACCTTGAACAACCAGCCACATGAGTGTATAAAAGCAAAGAATACTTAATAACTGAGCAGAATCACCAGCACATAAAAACTAAAACAAAGCTATAATGATGTGTAGTATGATCAGGCTTTAGGACACACACACACACACACGTACACACACACACAAACAAACGCAAACACACACACGTACACACACGTACACACATGTTTACACTCATGCTAACATTCATTCATTCATTCATTCATTCCTTCATTCATTCATTCATTCATTCAGTTAATAATGCAATGTGTGTAAAGAGTTGATTCATATCTATCCATGTGTGGTGTGTGTGAGCGTTGTTGAAACATCTGAAAAATATTTAAAAGAGAATAAATAACAATAATAAAAATACTATCAACAGTAATAGCATATATTAAATAAACTGAGCTATCTCCCACCCTATCTACTCCTATTAAAGCCACTCCATGCAGCACATGAACAAAATGAAAGAACAAACAATGAGATAACGGTGCATTCATAAAACATCTGAGATGATTATCCTCATCATTGTCATTAAATGCAAATCCACAGAGTAAAACACATTCAGGAGACAGTTGCACATTTCATGAATGTAGCTGTTGTAAATGTGTGCGTGCATGCGTGCGTGCTTGAACCAGCAGAACCAATTTGAAAACATATAACTCTTTAATGTATAATTAAAATTAACCTAACAACACAAAAACTGCTATATGAAAGTTATTTCAAAAAGGATATGAATGGGTAAACATCATATAGCACAATCACATCATATATAAACATAGGACATAAATAAATACTCACATCAACTGAACTGATCATTACAGAAACTTCCTCTTTGCTGTTTTCATTTTTGTCAGTATTATTTTTATCAATATTTTCAATTTTGTTATTGTTATTAATATTATTATTGTTAATGTTATCATTATCAGTGGTGCTAATGGCCAGAAGAAGAGCACCCTTATTGCTACTCTTACCACATCTACCAGCAGCATCTTCACCTGCAACATCACCATCAAGGCAATGATGTGACTCATCAATGACCTTGCCATCGTCAGATTGATGCGTGGAAGATGTTGTAACACTCAGGAGAGATGTACATGGTATGCTGCTCTGTGCAGATTTCTGAACTGACATCAATGCTGACATTGGGGACAGAGATGATGAAGAAGTTGTCGATAATAACGCCGACGATGATGAAGAAGTTGACGATGATGTTGATGATGAACATTTGAGAGCAACTTTGATGCTATCGAGCTGTCGTTCGCATGCCAATCTTTTCTTTCGTTCATCTTCCAGCTGACCCCTCAGCTCCTTGACCAACTTCTCCATCTTGTTCACCATTAAAACGTTGTCAGTCTGATAGTATGCATCTACTTTTCCTTCAACGATGAGTGGTGAAACGATGTTGCTGACATCACTATCGTCACTGGTGCCACCACCACTGTTCATTCGCTTTCTCTTGACAACCATGCGACCATCCATCTCCTGTTGAACGAGACACATCAGTTTGGAGTTCTGGTTGAGAAGGTGGGCTTTCTCACTTTCCAATTTGGCAATGTGTTCAACAGCTTGATGCAGAATCACTGACTGATTAAAAAAATAAATTGAAAATTTAATTTTAAAATTTAATTTAAATCTTGAATAACTTCTTATAGTCATAATGCAGCAAAACTGTTAACAAATTATACTAAATAAAAGAGCATATTAAGTGAACCCATATTCTCATAACAAACATTCATTTAAATATATTTTAAGCAACAAACATCAAAAGGTAAATAAAAAAAATTGAAAGAACAAACAAATACAGCATGAAAAAGTTGCAGGAAGCAAACAATGCAGAATACAGAAGACAATATGGGCAATGTTTTAATCAGCTGTGAATGATTACCAAAGGTCCTTTAGCCACATCATTTTCAGCAGCAATACACTCCATAAAATTTTCTCCTAATAACAAAAGTTACATAAAAAAATAACAATTCAAACAACAGACAACTACAGTTAAATATTTCAGTCTGAAATTAAAGTTTCCAATGTCATAGGTTAGCATTTTATTGCCTGTTATATTAACAACATGCAAGACATTGTCACAAAAATTTCTTCATGGACAACAGAACCACCATCCTCACCACCACCATCCTCGCCATCATCATCATCAGCACAATCCTTATTACCAACCAACCAATTTGGCGCTTACATATATTTTCATTATTGCATACACTTTCTCAAAGAGCATTGTCTTTCACACCATGCCAAATATATGTGTGATAATGTGAAACCTTAAAAGCTGTAATGACACCGTCATTTTAAAAAATATATGCACTACTTTGCTCATAAAAACAGTAGTGAGAAAGATAGCAGAGAGAAAGATAGTACATGCCTGTGCTAATGTGTCTTTATTTACAAATCTATTTACTCAGTTTCATAAGCAAACCCTAAGGAAAAATTAAAGTAAATACTATGTCAGCAGCATACATGCTCAAAAAAATTAGCATTGGCTGGCAGTAACCCTCAACTTGCTTAGCATCAACATCAACACCATTCATCATGATAGGATAAAAATGAAAATCTTTAGAAAATTGAAAACATAATTTTGATAAACCTACTACTACAAATAATAAAAAAACTTACGGGTCACTTTTCCCAACCAACTCACCTCAAAAATATGCCTAACAGTTAAAACCATTAACAAAATGCTAAAAGCTAACAACAAATGCAAATGAGGAATAATCTAAATAAAAGAAAAGGACTCCACTGATTAAAAATTCCCAACAGTCTGAAAAAAAGTTATGAATTTCTTTCACTATAAATAAATGTAAGGTACAAATGGGTAACAAAATAACCGAAGTTAATTAATCAATTGTAATTTAGACAACCCTAGTCCACAACCAAAACACATGATGTTCCATAATAAGAAAGATGTTTCTGAGAATTTTGCTTTAAAAAAAGAAATAAAAATAATAATGAAAGTAATAAAATATAAAAAATATATAAAAATGCAATTAAAAATTAAAAAGTTGAGAGTCTAAGACCACCAGGAGTATTGTAATGTTCAAATTTATGACCAGCCTTCAAAGAGCATTTGCTGAAATTCAACTTTTATATTACCATTACAATAAGTAAGCATTGCTGTAACGGTGTTATGTAACTATACAATCTTGATGACAGCTCACAAATGGAAAATTCTTCATTCAGAAATTTTTAAGAAGATCTAGCAATAAAATTCAATTGAAATTACAGAGAAATCTATATTCTTTCCATACAAAATTTCAATGAAACTAAAAAAAATCTTAAAAACAAACACTGATAGATGGAAGTTAACTAAAATCAACTGTCATATAGATACACAGAAGTATGTAGAGATATATGAAACATAATAGAAGTAACTGAAAGATTTAAATAATAAGAATGTAAACACAATTCTAAACAGCTAAGAAGCAATTTTTTAGCATCATGATAAGAAGTATCTATTTGTAAATAAATGCACACGTAGACAGACAAATAAACAAACACACAGACACACATCACTGTGGAACTGTTGATCTTGTTAAATGCCAGTTTTAGTTTTGTGGTTGATGCTGATGGCACTTAAGATATTGGTGATATCAAATTTGCATAAAGGCTGTCTTCAAAAAAATTGATACAATAAAATATAAGCAAACACATGACACACACATGAAATCTGGGTCTGAAAACTTAAAGATGCTGATGTTAAATAAGGATTGTTTTACTGCTTACTAACATTGGTGATCTTTTAAAAATCAAAATATATTAATATAAACAATGTCATTTAACTCTTCCAGTTCAAAAACAAGTTCAAACATTAATAAAAACAAATTTTTTGATGTTGTATAAAAAGAATCTACATCTAACATACAAAAAAGACATTTCCTCTTTAGAACATCTACACAGTATATAAATGAGCAAGTTAGTTTATCACAAAAAGTGAATACAACATACTAACATTTAATGAAACAAAGCAGTTTCAAAAGCAAAATATATAAGCTACATACATACAACCACAGACAGAGACACACACACACACAAACAAACAATCACAGACAGAAAGATATAATACCTTGCTCCTCTTGTCATCTTCAGTGTCGGGCAAGAGTGCCTTGAGTTGTTGGAAGCCACTGTTGATACTCTGCATGCGTCTCCTCTCATTGCTGTTCGCTATCTCCCGTCGAGTCTTTTTATCGCGCTCCAGTGACAACCTCGAAGTCTTCTCCCTGCATATGATCATGTCAGCTGAACTTAAACATTCACTCATTCAATCAAATCAAATTTTAAATCAAAAAGAAATCTGACTTCAGATCAAGACTTTAATTTAACATTAAACGGTACTCAACTTGGCAAAGTTGATAATTTTAAACTACTGGGTGTCTTTATAGACAATAAACTGAATTTCAGGAAGCATATTGAACACACAATCACAAGGCTTCACACTTTTTATGGAATGTTTCTAAAAATTAAACCTTTTTTAAATAAGAACATTAAGAAAATTTATATAACTCAACTATTTTTCCCTATCTTTATTATTATAATTTAGTTTGGGGGAATACAAATAAAACAGAACTAAAATATTTAATACAAAAAAGATATTTCAACAGTTCCATAAATAAAAATATATTTTTTGATAACCAAATTATGGCTGTTTATGAAGTAAATAAATATAAAACATGTTTATTAATTTTTAGAATTATTCATGAAAATAATAGACTAAATAAACACATCATAAATTTAATTGAATACAATAGAATTTCAAACACCCGATCTAATGATAAACTTTTAATTAAAACAAATTTAATATTGAATAAAATTAGTGCTTGTCAGTTTTTCTATTATGCACTGTTGGTTTGGAATGGACTGCCATTTTATTTGAGGGCTTTGACAAATTATAATGATTTCAAAATTCAATTAAAGACCTATTTCATATGTTTGTCATAATGTTTTATAATTTTTTTCATATAGTTACTTTTGTTTTATACATTTTCTTCATTGGGTTTTGTGCTTAGATGTATGCGCATGGGTGTTGTGTTTGAATGTTTGTCTAGGAGATGTACAATTGGAAATTACTATTATATTATTAACAGCCAAATAATGTTTGATCATAACTATTTCCGTTATTACTTTTTTATGTGTGATCAATTGAATATGTGACTTTAAATGTATGGAATTGGATGTTTTTGGGGTTGGCTGAAAAAAACACTCGTGGTTATGCTGGACCTTTTTTTTCAAAATTATTTTTTAACGTTTGAAAAATAAACGGATAAAAAAAAATAAATAAAAATAAAAACAACTTTTGCTTTGAAGTAGATATGATCTGAATGTTTGTGTATGCGTGTGTGTGCGGTGCGTGTGTGTGTGTATGTACTCTTTCTATCTATACAATAAATGCTTATGACAATTTAATTAATACTTGTGTGTGTATTCCTTTTTCTAATTCACCCAAATTTTAAGATAATAATTGCATTTAAAACATGAAAAATGAGAGTGAAAGATAAAATTTCTGCAAGCATTTGTAACTGAATCATTCAAGCAGGATAAGTACTCATAGGAGGTAAAATTACATCAAAACTTAAATAACATGGCACTTTATAATGGATGATTTTGATAAATTATTTAATTTTTTAGCATTGTAGTAGTATGGCAAAGTTGGGAAGAAAATGTCTTCAAAGTAAATTTTTCATGTAAACTTGCAAAGAAAATGAAATTGAACGAAAATATGCAAATGCAAATAACCATTATGTACATCTCATTTGAAGTGTACAGAAACCATCTTAAATGAATTCATCTTGAACCAAAAATATGAATTGAAAATATTTTTTAAAGAAAAATATTATGGCACTGCCAGTGAGTTTCATGTGAAAGTACTGTTCATATTTCATTCTAAAGAATGCCTGTTATGAAAGAAATTAAAAGCCTTTATATATAATTATATACACAGAGTTTGAGTTTCTTCAATTGAAAACAGATTGCTTAAAGAGCCTTCCTGTAGAGTTCATTAAAATTTATTCAAATCTACCATGAAGAATCCATAAAACAGCAACATGTATGAAACAAATTAAACTTATATATTAAATTTTTGTTTTATTAACTCAGTGCTTGCTAAATGAAAATATCTTCTCTTTGTTGAAACCTTGTTATTGTTGGTCACCAGCATTGAATTGAGTCCTAAGAAGCTAGTTGAATCTTTAGCCACAATTCTAATCATAACTGAAATTAAAGGATCAAACATTGATACCGTAAAATACAGATCAAATATCAGAAACATGCATAAACAAGAAAAAGTTTTTTATATCAACCTCTAATTAATTATAACAAACTTTATTTTATGAGAGAATAAAATAATAATAAATAAATGAATGACAAAAACAAAATACTTTTATAATTTATAATTCTAAAAATGCATTCCGAAAATGAAAAAATAATTAAGTGAATTTTGATCAAAATGGTGATTAAAAAAAACAAAGAACATTTCATGTTTGAAAGAAAAATTTATTGGTAAGTGATCAATTCAAAATGGCATTGCATTGCATTTCATTTTGATTTTATTTACATTTGATTTGACAAATCTTCAAACATATCATGATCAGAATTCTGTTCAACAAACATAAAATGACATTTCAATTTAAATATCTGTCAAATAAGTAATTTATTATTAAAAAACAAATGCACAAATTGATAGACATGGAAATAAATAACTTTATTTATGGCATTGGAAAGTCTAGACAAAATAAATATACAATACATACAACATATAGATACATACATACATACAAAACATATACAATATAATATATACACGTGTATGTACTGGTATGATTGCTAGCATAACATAACATTAGAAGACTTTCCTATTATAAACATAATGTCTGGTGGCGCGTGTGAGTAATCAGCTGTAAGTTGCATGCCACTTGTAAACGTCAAATTTTCACTTAAATTTGATTTCTGTGCAACAAAGATTCGAATACTCATAGATGACTACGCGCTAGACATTATAATTGCAAAAAAAATTTAATTCTTGCGACAGAAATCACAAAATTTAACCAACAATGTGCGGCGGATAAATTTTTTATTCCCAATGTAT